GTTATAGGAACATGTTCGAAAAGTTAATGGATTTCCAAATATGTAATTTAAAGTTAGAGAAATGAAAAACTTGAAAATGAGTTAGAGTTAGATAAAGAGAAGGTATAGTTAGTTGTCGGAATTATAGTACCTTCTAGGGACATACACAAAAGTGACTTTTATAAAACATTTCGGGGAGTTGGGTAGATTATCAAGGAGGAAATACATTTTTTGTGTAAAATACAATAAAAAAAACAAGTAAGGAAAAGTCAAAAGTCGGGCGGGGCCGACTATATTATAGCCTACATCGCTATGAATATTTAGTAGAGCTCACGTAACAAAAGAATTTATTTCAAGTAAATCATACCACCTATTAGAGCAGTTATAGTTTGCTATAGAGGAGAAAGTTTATACTCAACAAGTAAAAAAGCTGTAAGTTCGGCCGGGCCGAACTTTGAATACTCTCCACCATTTGGAACGAATCTGGCAATTCTCAAAATCAATTAAATATGTTAAAAATTCTTTTAAATTAGGGTCTAAACGACGACATGCGACAAATGCGAAACTTAAAAAAAATCGAATATCGGGAGGTACCGTCATATGCTATAAGAAGACGTGGACCTGTACAGACAATTTTCTGTCTTAGACTGTACTATCCATTACGAACTTCAAATACCAAAATTGAAACAATTCCGTTGAAAAATGTCGCTAAAATCATCAAAATTTCGAATATCGGGACGTACCGTCATATGGGGGCTATAAGAAGATGTGAACCTGCACAGACAATCTTCAGTCATAGGCTGTAGTATCCATTTCGAACTTCAAACACCAAATTTGAAACAAATACCGGCAAATAATGTCGCTAAAATCATCAAAATACCGAATATCGGGAGGTACAGTTATATGGGGGCTATACGAAGACGATGACCCATTTTCTGTCCTAAGTCGTAGTATCTACTACGAACTCTAAGTACCAATTTTGAAACAATTCCGGTAAATAATGTCGCTAAAATCATCCAAATACCGAATATCTGGAGGTAACGTTGTATGGGGGCTCCACCAAAACCTAGACCTACATGATCCATTTTCAATATCAAAAGTCCTGCAGACATAATACACCTTTGAGTAAAATGTTATCAACCTACTTCATTTCGTTCGGAAGCTAGAGTGATTTCCACAGACGGACGGACATCGCTAAATCGACTTAGAATTTTATGCTGATCAAGAATATACATACTTTGTGGGGTCTAAAAGGTATATTTCGATGTGTTACAAACGGAAGGACAAACTTAATATACCCTTAATATATATTCGTGATGGAATTCAGGCGTGAAAGTGTGATTTCTTTATATTTGACTGGAAAACCACAAGTGGCTATCGTTAGAGCACTCTAGCATTTAAATCTGAATAAATCTTTTGTGTCTCGTACCATCGCTCGTTATAGTGATACTGGTAGCGTAGCCCGGCGTCAAGGAAGTAGATGGAAGAAAACAGCAACATCAGCAGAAATGGTTCGAAAAGTAAAGAAGAGACTTGATCGAAATCCGCATCGCAGTGGCCGAAAAATGGCTCGTGAACTGAACATATCGCAATATTCCATTCGGCAAATATTGAAAAATTAGCTCGTGGTAAAGCCATCGAAAAAATTGCAAGAACTTACCCCGCAACGGAAAGAAAATAGACTCAAAAGAGCTAAAGAGTTGCTTCGCTTGACCAAAAGTGAAGAACTGCCGAATTTGGTTTTCTCCGATGAGAAAACATTCGTTGTCCAGCAGTTTGTAAACAACCAAAATGATCGTGTTTTCTTGCCAAAGAGGTCAGCTGAAAATGTGCACCTTCGGTTCGCCACCAAAACTCAAGTGCCACAAGAACAGCCGATGGTCGCTTTCCGCTAGTATTAATCGACCGTGGCATCAGAATAAATACCGAATATTATAGCGAAAATATTCTGGAGGCTGTATTAAAGCTTTGAGCACGCAAACATTTTGGCCACAGACCTTGGACATTCCAACAGGACTCAGCACCATCACACTCAGCATGCGCCACCCAAGAATGGTTACAAAATGAGGTATCTCGCTTCATTTCCAGCGCACAGTAGCCACCAAAATCGGATACCAATCCGTTGGACTATTGTGTCTGGAGTATTTTGGAAAGCAAGGTTGGCACTAACAAATATCAAAGTATCAATCACCTCAAGCAAGCGCTTCGCCGGGAATGGGCCTAAATACCGCAGAGCAACATTCCTGCAGCGTGTGACGGTTTCATTGGCCATTAGAAGGCCATAATTCGTGTCAAAGGTGACCAATTCGAACAAATCTAAACTCATTCCAAAATGTTATGGTATTTCCGATTTTTTTTTTTTATTCAATAAAATTAAAAAAATGTAAAACTTGTGGCGTTGACTTTGTTGCAGTTTTCTTATCTCACCCTGTAGATAACAATACATGTAGTATAAAGTGGTCTCTATAGGTTTCCGTTTTGGTATGGTACTCATCATCCACTTTATGGTAGGGTTTAACTGCTTTATCCCAACAGTCTTACCGGTATTTGTAGTTTAAAGTGCAACACGTTTGAATCCAGATGTTTTTATATACCAATTTTTATATCCTACACCACGGGGTGGTCAGGGTATTATGTCTTTGTGCATTTGTTTGTAACAGGCAAAAGGAAACGAGATAGACCCATAGTTCTTTTTGATGATCTGCATAGAATCACATTCTGAGTCGATTTATGCATGTCCGTCCGTCCGTCTGTCCATGTATTTTTGTAAACAAAGTACAGGTCGCATTTATTGCCCGATCCAGATGAAATTTTGCACAGATCATTTGTTTGGCCCAAGGACGAACCCTATTGAAATTGGAGATAAACGGTAAAGATTTAGATATAGCTCCCATATATATCTTCGTCCGATTTGCCTTTTATTGTGCACCAAACGTGTAATATCAGCCCGAATTGTATGGAATTTTGCATATACACCCAAATTAGGCCTGAAAATACGTATGCCAAATTTGATCGATTCATCAATTCAATCGGTTCAGATATAGCCATAGCTCAAATATATATTGTTCATCCGATTTGTTATTTTTGTCCACCGCCGCCGTAATATGCACTCTGCAACAACAATATTTGGGGAAATATATAAAATACAGCTCAGAAATATCTTTGCTAAATTTTATCGAGATCGGTTCAGATTTGGATGTAGCTCCCATATATATCTTTATCCGATTTCAAATTAATTGTGCGTCAAATGGGCAATACAATTCCGAATTTAAAAGATACAAATGCTTCGGCATATTTAGTCCTTTGAACTTTAAATTATAATTATAATCATAGCGTGTATGATTGAATTCTCCCATAAAAACTTTTAATTGTTATGCACAGCTCTACTAAATAAGCAAAGTGGTGTAGGGTATCATAAAGTCGGTCCCGCCCGACTTTAAGACTTTCTTTACTGGTTTTCTTTGGGTATTAGAAGTTCGGCCCGACCGATTGTTTTTTTGCTTGTTTCTCGTACAGTAGGTAGTACGCACAGTAGCTGTTCCATTTAGAAGTAAAATGTATAATCCAATGGCCAGTTAATATGTCGGCATCAAGTGAGAACCTTTTCGTGATTGCTGATCTGATAGTTCTTTATGAATTGGTATTTCAGTTAACAAAGGAAGGAACTATCACGAGCTGATTCATCAGTCATTATATTCCACATAAAATAAATATGGATTGGAGATCCAATAAAGTTTAAATAAGTTCTTATTGAGTGTTGGTTTCTTCGTTCATCTCCGTATTAGGCGGAATGTCCGAATATTTTCACAAATATGGAATTATATAAAAACAAATTTAAACGTATTATTTAACTTTGTTGACAGCAGTACCTCAGCCTATGGTACCTAAATCCCAGTTTCGTATTTTATATAATTTCGGTATTATTAACACTGTGTGCTATTATACCCTAAACCTATGCCCCGAGGGCATTATAAGTTTGATTTGCCAAAAATTTGTGAGAATATTTCGTGTATCGATCTTCCTAACTCCCCAAGTTGAGTCGATCCAGCTATGCGTGGCCTCCGTCCGTCTGTCCATGTTAATTTGTAATCAGATCAATTATGGTACGATTTTCGCTAAATGTTGCATGGAGTTAGGGTCAGAGTAGAGGCCTATTGTTGGGGAAGATTATCACATAATATTAAGGGGATGAAATTATTTTTTAGTGCCAGCCTTGCTCTCCGAAATACTCCAGACACAATAGTGCGCTGGAAATGAAGCGAGGAAGCTCATTTTGAAACCATTCTTGGGTGGCGCGTGTTGAGTGCGATGGTGCTGAGTCCTGTTGGAATGTCCAAGGTCTGCGGCCAAAATGTTTACGTGCGCAAGGCTTTAATACACCCTCCAGAATATTTTCGCGATAATATTCGGCATTTATTCTGATACCACGGTCGATTAAAGGAAGCGGAGAGCGACCGACGGCTGTTATGGCGGCCCACACCATTTATTTAATCAACTAGGCTTATTGTTACTATGCTCCATGAAACATGAAACATAAATCTCCATTCCCCCTTCCCCCCAAATAAAAACACCAATTTCATTTTTACATTGTTTTTCATTTTTTGAACAATTTTATTTTTTTGCATTTTCAAGTTTTTCGTCGTTCGAAGAAATGCGAATTTCTTCTTCATCCTCTTCTACTATTAAATTAACAAAAAAAAAAATACGTTGCGATTTCATTATTAATGAAGTAGATTCTCTTTTTTTTGGGGGATTTTTGTTGTTTTTCTTTTGAATTAAATAAAAACTATTAACTAGAAATTAAAAAAAAAATGGTAATGATAATAAAACAAAAATAAAAATTATTTTAAAATACAATTACGTAGACAATAATGAACAACATTTCACATTTCTAAATACGATATTAGGTAGATAGGGTAGATAGACTTAGAGCGATAGCTTAATCTCCTTCGTTTTGATGATGGCGTTGTCGCATCGATACTGACCGGGGGCGTGGTAGTTGGTAGGTGGTGAAATGGTAGTTGTTTTTTTTTTTGCAATGCTGGTCGATGTTTGTTTGCATTTTCATTTCTTCGAATACTTATTAGATTTAGTAACAAATTATAATAATATAATAATAATTACAAGCATATAATAATAATAAAAAAATAATAAATGACAATTAAACAAAATAAAAAAGGTCGTGTGGAGAGAGAGAACATTTTTTACAAAGCGAGCGAGCGATTTAATGTTAAAAACAAAAAAAAATTAAAAATTAAACAAATGTGTTTGCATTCGAGTTAGTAGAACAGGAACTCTGGGATTGTGGGAGGAGGTAGGAATGGGAGGATCAGGAACAGGATCAGGATGTGGGGGATACAGGATCTGTACGGGCTGGGATTGGTTGCATTTAGGGCGAGACACATCTGGGCCATGGGAGTGGGATACTGGACAGGAAAACGGGAACAGGACGGGATTGGGATGGGAGTTCGTTGGGGGGGGAAATCCTTACTCAAACGTCGTGTGTTATCGTCTTCAGCAGCTATGCTAGCGCTAGATTTAATTGGTCGTTTCGCTTTCTGTCGTATCGTTAGTTTTTGTCTCTGTTGCAACTCTCTGGTCGTCGCCGTTGTTTGTTACAGATTGTACCTCGTCCGATTGTTTCAGATCCTTTTCAACAACTAAGGCCGGGACTTCTTCTACCTCCTTGACAACATTGCTCGCTTCGGCATTTGAACCAGCAGCTTCTTCTACGGTTGTAGCTTCGTCTTCCGGTGCGGCAGCGGTGTCGGTATTGGTATCGGTTTCACGTTTCTTGTGACTGTGATCGGGTATATTTTGTGTACACGAACAGGGACACATACACTGATCTTTGCGGCCACTACCGCCACCGGGGAATATCGAATTCAAACTAGAACCGTAGGGGAAGGGGGCAGGTTGTACACCCAGGGGCAAGGGATCAAATGCATGTTGTTGTTGCTGTTGCTTATTGTTCAAATTCTCTTGGCAATTGGCATAGGCCGCTTCGGGCAAAATGACTACGGGCATAAATGCAATAATGGCACCCTTGGGAATTTTGTCGGGCGCATAGAAGGCCGGATAACCGGGCACTTGAGGCACAACGGGAATTTGTTGCAGAAAAGCCATCGAGTTCATTATGTTGCCAAAGTGAGCCTGACCAGCAAAGCCGCTTCCGGTCGTGAATTGTTGTTGGAATTGATTGGCGTTGAAGGAGTTAAAGGAGGAACTGCTTGGATTGCTATTGGAGTTGAAGGATGTCGATGAATGAGCCTTGTCAGCTTGGCAGGCACAATTGTTCGCAGTTGTTGTTGTTGTTGTCTGGGAAAGAGTGGGATGGAATGTTACATTCTGTGGCTGTTGCTGATATGCGGTACCTGTCTGTTGTGTCTTGGTGGTTGTGGTCTTGGTGATGGTCTGTTTGTTTTGGGTTACCTGTGTCTGTGTGGATGGTGTCTTGCTAACGGTCACCGTGGGCGTGTAGGTCTGGGTTTGGGTTTGTGTTTGGAACTTTTGTTCGGGTGTGCGATTTATGAAGGCATTGTTGCTAACATAGTTACCGGTGACTTTTTCGGTTACCTTTTGGAAGGGTTGACCGCCAAAGGTATTGCCGGAGGTGGTCGTGGTGGTTGTGGTGGTGATTTTGTTGCCACCACCAAAACCACTAGCGCCTCCGCCGCCTCCACCGCCACCTGAGGTGGTGCTAACCACCTTTTCATAGCCAGCCGTTTGTGGCGGCAAATAGCCACTGGTAACTTTGTTGTTGTTGTTGCTATTGTAGTTGTTAGTGCTTGTTGTCACGGTCACCTTACTGTCACGGTCCTTGTTAGTATTCGTGCCGTATGTGGTTGTTGTGGTCTTGTCAATATTCAAACCTGTTGTTGGTATTTTGTAGTTGTTATTATTACCATTTTGATTTGTTGTTGTTGTCGTCGTCGTTGTAGTTGTATGGGTCTTAAAGTACTTGTCCTTTTCAGTTGCGACGTCCGGGACCTTTGAGTTGCCAATAATATTGTAGGTGTTTTTGTTGTTGTTATTGTTGTTGTTGGCGTTTTGGTTCGTTGTGGTAGTGGTAGTCGTGATTTTGTGTTGTTGTTGTTGGTTGTGGTAGGAGGATGTGGGAGTGGGAGTGGAAGAAGAAGGGGGAATATAGGTTAGTACTTGATCAAACGTTTTCTCATCATAATTATTTTGATTCTTTTGATTGTTGTTGTTGCTATTGTATTGATTTGACTTATTACTATTGGTATAGGTATTGGTATTGGTATTGCTATTACTATTACTATTGCTATTGGTGGTAGTGGTATATGTGGTGGATGTGGTTGTGACCTTCTTTTGTGCACCATCATTACTGTTCACCGTATAATTGGACACAAAAGCGGTCGGTTTGTTGACCGAGGCTGGTGGTGTTGGTGGATTGATGCTTAGAGAGTATGATTCGAACTTATTACTAGTTGGTGGATTGTTACCCTTTGGTGGCAAGTAGCCATTGTTCTGGTATGTCGATTCCCTGGGATCATCTTTTTTGGGTGGTAGATAGCCTCTGTCACCGCCGTTGGGTGGTGGTGGGGGTTGTTTTCCGGGAGGTCCTGGTGGGCCGGGACGGGTGGGACCGGGTGGGCCGGGTCTGTATGGGCCTGGTGGTCCTGGTGGGCCAGGTCTGGTGGGGCCTGGAGGTCCTGGTGGGCCAGGTCTGGTTGGGCCTGGGGGTCCTGGTGGGCCGGGTGGTCCTGGTCTGGTTGGGCCTAGTGGTCCGGGTGGGCCGGGAGGTCCGTATGGGCCACCGGGTCCTGGTTTGGTTGGTCCATCAGGTCCGGGTGGGCCTGGGGGTCCAGGTGGTCCGGGAGGTCCTTTTCGAAAGAGAACAAAGAAAAGTTAGTTGTGGTGTTATTGGCGAATGTAAAGTCATTTTATTTTACCCTTTGGTCCACCAGGTCCTTTAGGGCCGCCGGGTCCCTTAGGTCCGCCTGGACCGCCGGGGCCTTTGCCGCCGCCATCACCGCGTCCGCCTTCACCGCCCTTGCCGCCATTACCGCCATAACCTCCATTGGGGCCAGTTACGTGCACATATGGTGGTGCAGGTGGTCCAGTTGGTCCTTCAATGTGAACATATTTACCAGAATTATCATGATAATATTTACCCTCTTGAATGCCTGGAAAAAGCAAAAATTTTACAAATAATTATCATCCAGGTCCATTGGTGGGGAGTGGGTCTTAAGTTCAACTTACCTTTATATCTTCCATCTTCATATTTACCATTATCTAAATTGGGTTAAGCAAAAAAGAAGTCGGACAATGGAAAAACAAAAAAGAAAAACAATTAGTTCAATTGCCAGAAATTGGTAATGGTTATTCGGTTACTCGACTACTTTACGGCTACAAATACAATTACAAGAATTTATTTACTATTGGACTAAACTAAGTACGAAACTAAGTAGGTTATGGTTACACAAGAAAAAAATTAAACGTCATTATTGTCGATTAAACTAAAAATACTGAATACTGGTTATTGGTTACCCATTACCTACAGTAAGCCAAAAAAGCATAAGCCCAACACCATAAGCTTGACCAAAAAAAAAAAAGTAAACCATCCAAAAAAAAATAAAGACAGTTTCCCGTTTCCAGGGGTATGGGTTAGTAAAAGCCCTTAAGGCAGGCTTTCCGGTGGGGTGAGGAGAGAATGGAGCATGGAGGGTGAAATAAAGTGCAGGGTTAATTTACCAAGAGCTGGAGAACAAATTTGATACTCCAGAGAGAAAAAAATAGAAAATAAGAGAGAGAGAGAGAGAGAGAGAGAGGTATAAAACAGTAATTAAGAAGTTCAAGAGTAATGTGAGTTGAGTGTAATTGTGGGCAATAGTTGTCTAGTGTAGTGTGCATAGGCATGTGTGTGTGTGTTTGTGTACTGAGAACAGGTGAGAAGAAGCTTATGATTTTGTTTTTTATTTTCTTTTTGTTGTTGTTGTGGTGGTTGTGCATTCAGGGGGACTCGGTGCTTTATATAAAATATATATTTTTATAAAAAAGAAGAATATAACACATGATTCCCATGTATTGAAGAAAACGAAAATTGACCTCAAGACAATAAAAAAACAAGGGGGAAAGTGAATAGAGTCCCAATAACATTAAAACCATCGGCATATATAGGCATTTATAGAATTATATAAAAAATGTGAGAATATATATGTATTTAGGAAGAGAGAGAAAGAGATATAGAGAGTAAATATTCTTATGCAAGAGTGTGCTTGAGCAAAAATAACAAAAAAAAATTGCAGTGCCTGGAAAAGTGACCCTAAACGATATAATCTCTGCTAGAGTTATGTGGTCCCCTAAGGTGCTATTACGGTCCTAGGTTCTGTTTTTTTTTTTTTGTGGTCTGTGCGTCGTCAACAATTTTACAGTTACTGTTTTTTCTTTTTACAAATTCTGTTCTCAAGCTGAAAATAAAAGACAAACTCTTTAAAAAATACAAAATAAAAATAGCTTAGTTCCTATCTAAAATAGAAGACAAAATAAAAATTATTTTGAACCGGAGCTTGGATACATACACACATTGTTACACATCATATATATAAGAGAGAGATACATACAAGAGTATATTTTAATAGCCTTAATATTGCTATTGGTTACATGGTCCAGCAAGACATAGGTAGGTTGGTAGGCAGAGATATAGCCAGTGGATCCGGCAGCGGTTAGATTTCGTTTTGGTGCTTAGGTTAGTGTGGGTAGTGGTGTGTGTGTGTGCATGTGGAAATTGTGGTGGATAAAAAAAAGGACAGGTTTGGGTATCGGGAAGAGAAATGAATATAGTATGTTTATATATTTGGTTTGGGGTAGGTTTTAGAACTGAAAGTATGGTGCTTCGGTAGAATTTTTTTGTTGCTTTTGTTTGGTTTCAAATGCACATTTGTTAGTTAGTTCTTATATGATCCAGGTGCCGCGGCAAGCTTGAAAGCATTTTTTTTTTATTCTTAAACATAGTAGTAGTTATATAAAATAAGATATAAAAGGCCTAAGGGTCCGTTCGGCTAACTTCGGCTTACTATGTACAATGTGTATGATTTCGTTCGTTCATTTATCTTTTTCTTTTCTTTATCTAGATGTAGTCCAAGCTCCGTTTTGTTTGATTTATTGACTTGTATGTATGCTAACCTTGGGTGTATCCGATGGCCCCAGGAAAACCGGTCGATGCCTGTCCTTCTAGGTTACCGCCTGAATATGAGCCGCCGAATCCTGCGCCTTGACCAAGTTTTCCTGGGGTTCCCGATCCCGATCCTTTTCCAAAGCCAGTTGGGCCGGGAGGACCTGGTGGACCAGGTGGGCCAGGAGGACCGAAGGGGCCTTTGGGACCATTTGGACCCTTGGGACCATTTGGACCGTTGGGTCCAAAGCCGCCATTACCTCCGAAGCCACCATTGCCTCCATTGCCACCGGCTCCACCATGTCCTCCTTGGGCGCCAGTCACATGAACATATGGCACTGCAGCTGGTGCACCACCGCCATCTGTAACACACAAACAAACCATGTTCTAGCTCCATTCTACGTTGCTTTTTTCGCTTTTTTTCAAAATCTCTCACTGTAATTTCCGGTATTGTAGCTGCCAGGCTTCAGTGCCGACACAACCTGGTTCGACGACGATTGCAAACGGGAGGCACCATCATCCAATAATCCTGTGCCCTTGCCGGCACCGTATCTATGGATTTGGGGACTCTTCTGATCGGAACCCTTGAATACCAAATTCGATGAGCTCGAGAATCCGGGAGCAACGGGTTTCTACAATACATGATGAGGGGTTAAAATTTCTAATTCTTTGGCACCGCGACGGCCATCTTACATTATCGACAAAGATCAACGGGATATTGGGGCGTACACCACCTTCGAATTTACCACAACCAATGGGGAAATACAATTCATCCCATTGCAGCAACACACCGGTGCTCTTGACATTGGGATCGTTGGTGGGTGGATAGGTGACGACAGGTTCCATGGGTGTGACTGTGCGATAGCCATGGGCATCGGCTACATAGTGAGTGGCGCGCAATACTTTGTAGGGATCGATGTGACCGTAACAGCCGTAGGTGACACCATCAGGACCGCGGGTCTCGTGATGGAAATTGCCGGTCTTGCCGATGTCATATCCGTAACGGTAGGCGTCTTTTGGTTGGGTAGTTAAGTTAAGAGGTTGGTTTTGGTTTTTGTATTGTTTTTAAGGTAAGGGTAAGGTCAATGAGTATCAAACAGAGTAAGAGAGAAAAAAATCCTATATAAACTGGATATAAACCTAACAGCCCTAGCCTCAGCTATGATTTGAGAAAATGAGGAAATTTTATGATCTGGAGGAAGAAAAAAAGTACAACAACACTGACACTGCTCGCATAAGGAAAAGCACAGGATATCTGTTTTCGGGTGGTGGGGGAGGAGGTTTTTTGGGGGGAAAATTACTCTTCTTTTTTCGGAGGGGTTTTTCGTTGAGGAAATGCTTCTTCGTTGGTTTTGTGGGGGAGGAGGGAGGTGTTTTTTAGATGGGTTAAACTGTAGGTAGTAAGGAGGTGTTTTGGAGAGGTGTTTTGTTTTTTTGGGGAGGGGAAAGGGGAATAAGGGATGAGTATGCGAAGCTTTGTTTATGTACGAGTACTACTTAGAACTTCCATTGACAACATACAGGTTACATATTATACAAAGAAGATACATACAATAGAGATAAGGAAAAAAGACAGGTATTAGGTATAGGATAAGTTGGTGGTGGTGGTGGAGGAGTAGGAATAGGAGTAGGTGGAGGAATAGGAGTAGAGAGCATAAAAAAGTGTTTGGTATTAACTAGCAATTTTTGGTTTGGATTGCTTGTTTGCTTAGTTGTTGTTTTTTTTTTTTGGTATATTGTTTTTTGTTTTGAGTGGTGGTGGGTGGGTTTGTTTGTTTGTGGTGGTGGTGGAGGTGGTTGTGGTGGTGGGGAGTAGAGAGAGAGAGGAATAATATTTACAAGTCGAAACGATCTGTGGCGATCTGTTTTATTGGTTTTGATTTTGGTTTTTGGTTGTAGAGATGGACGATAACTGAGTTTTGATTACTACTGCATTTAAATGGCTGGCGCTTGCGTACTTGTGGCTGATTTTCAGTTTGTTTTTATTTCGGTTGCTTGGCATAATTTTGTTTTTTGGCTTTTAATTTATTTTCTTTTGTTTGCTGTTGGCTGGCATCTAAAAAAAATATTTGTTGCTTGCCGCTAGAGTTTTAGTAGTAAAGCTACAGAGTTGTTTTGTTTTAGAGATAAATATTGATAAGGAAATGAAAACAATTTATTATTTTAGATTTTGAAAATTTTTTTGAGGGGGGATATCAGGGTTATGTAGACAATTCTGGGTGGACTACATGAAACAACAAACAAAATACCAAAGGATACAACAAAACTACTGGAATTTAAGCTATTTGAGCTGAGCGGGGATATTCGCTCAAACCATTTAGTATTGGAATTACAAAAACTAAAAAAGGATACTAACTACCAAATAAAATTGTAAATGGGGATATTCACAAAATTACAGTTTTACGCCAAAAAAAATATGAACTACTAAAAATAGTATTTTTTTACTGCTGCCAAAAATGTTTAAAAATCAAAATATTTGGTTAATAATATCTGCACGATTAAATGCAGATTAATTTTGGAGATGTTATTTATTGGTTTTAGTGGGATCCATGATAGTTAGGTGGTAAAGGGAAGGTTAATGAAATGAATTTTCTACAGAAAAAAATATAAAACAAAACATCAAACTAAAATTGTGGTTAGAGGAAGGGAGGAGAATGATACAACTACTACAAAAGGAATTTATTTTTCTACATTTTTGTTGTTGTTGGTTTTCTAAAGGAAAATTAATACAAATTTTTTCTGTACATGATTTTATATATGTATATATGAGGAGGATAGGATTAGGGGTTGGGGGTTATTTGAATTTGAATTTGATTTTTTTTTCATAGGGATGTTGTGATGTTTGAGAAAAAGAACTGGTTGTACTTACTGGTATCGAAGTTGGAAGAATAATATTGCTTATTGGTCGTCTTTTGATCTTTAATGTCAAGAATGAGACGACGATTTTCTGAATCTAATTTGACAGATATTGCGCATTGCACTAAAATGCAAGCGATGGCCTGGAAATGGAAAAGACATAAAAAATATATAAATAAATTTGGATATATAAAATAAAAAAATAAAATCGTAAACAAATTGAATTTTTGTTTAGGGAAAATAAATAAGAGATATCACTTAAGATTTATGGAAAAATTGTAATTTGAAGATTTGCGGTAAAAAAATTATTTGATCTCACCGGCTGTTGTTCGCATAAAAGTAGGCAATGCATAGAATGTCTTGTATATCAGCGTTAAGCCAAGATGAGAATAAAAACAAAAATTCCCTTCAGTTGAACAATGTTATATTACATACAATGTATATATAGAGAGAGGGAGATTAATTCGAAAAATTTTCTCAGAAGATCTCTGAAAGATCTAATGTCTATAGAAGACATGGAGAAGACTTCTCAGACTATGTGGCAAAGTAGGCAATACATAGAATGTCTGGTATATCACCGGGCTCCCGTAGGCACCAGATGAGAATAGCAACAAATTTTCGATTTAATAAAGCATTGTTTTAAGACGTACAATGTAAATATAGAGAGAGGGAGAGTAACTCCAAAAGTAACTCTCAATTTATCTCTGGAAGATATACTGCATATAGAAGACCTGGAGAAGACCTCTCAGACTATGTGGCAATATATGAAAAAATGATTTGATCTCACTAGCTGGTGTTTGCCTAAAAGTAGAAGTGCATAGAATGTCTTGTATAACACCGTTAAACCAAATGGCGACCGTGATGAGAACAAAAACAAGAATTCGATTCAGTTAAACAATTTTTTAAGACATACAATGTAAATACAGAGAGAGGGAGAGTAATTCGAAAATTTTTCTCAGAAGGTCTAATGTCTACAGGAGACATGGAGAAGACCTATGAGACAATTGCTACATTTCAACACATTTTTTTAATTTTTTATTTTATTTATTAATTTTTTATACCCTCCACCATAGTATGGAGGGTATATTAAGTTTGTCATTCCGTTTGTAACACCTCGAAATATACATTTTAGAACCCACAAAGTGTATACATATATTCCTGATCAGCAGAAAATTCTGCGATGTCCGTCGATTTAGCGATGTCCATCCATATGTCCCTCTGTGGAAATCACTCTAGCTTCCGAACGGAATAAAGTAGATTGACAAAATTTTACTCAAATGTATATAATGTCTGTAGGACTTTTGGTATTGAAAATGGGCCATATAGGTCGACGTTTTGGTATAGCCCCCATATAACGGTACCTCCCGATATTCGGTATTTTGATGATTTTAACAGCATTATTCATCGGAATTGTTTCAAATTTTGTATTTGAAGTTCGAAATGGATATCACAGCCTAAGACAGAAAATTGTCTGTGCAGGTCCACATTGGTATAGCCCCCATATAACGGTACCTCCCGATATTTGGTATGTTGATGATTTTAGCGACATTTTTAAGATTATAACGGTTTTAATTTTTTTTTTGAAAATAATGTTCATTACAGTTTTGGACCTCATGGAATAAATTCCAATTTTAATTTTTTTTCAAAATTTGTAAAGATCAAAGAGCGTTTTGAATAATTTATTTCCTAAACATACCACAGAGATTCACAAATATTTTAATTTTTTTTTGTTTTTTTTTGCCATTAAAATTATGAAAACAGGAACCTGCATCAATAAATTATTAAAAAAAATACATACAAATAATTTCTAAATAATTATTTTATATAATTTTGAATATTTTTTGTTTCTCCCTTTTTGAATATTGTCACACACGAAAAACATAAAAAAAATCTGGAATTTTTTTGCTCTCTTCACAACTAGAATTTCTAGAACTAGTTGGCGTTTTCTAAGCTTGGCTAATTTGCATAACAATAAATTAAAACAAGAACGGAGGCGAAGTCGAAGTGGTTTAACTTGGTTTCCAAGATATTACCCATAATTTATGAAATTTATTTTATTTTAATTTTAAATTCGAAAAAAAATAATATCATCGTTCACCTGGCTTGACATCATTTTCAGCCAGGCAGATTCCCAAAAAAAAGTCACTTGGCCAAAAAGAGGAAATACTTTGTTTGCGATGTTGTGTTAACAACCAACACAATGTCAATTTGAAATGACAAATTATTGTTCTGTTTTTTTTTTTCTCCCCACTTCTCTCATTGTGTTTTTATTTCCAAAATGTATTTTTTTGTTATCTGATTTGTTTTTTTTTTTTTTTTTTTGGATTTTGTTGTGGCTTCTAGTTATTTTGCTTTCTGTTATCGAAGCAATTAAAAATTGTTTGTAGATCCGGTTCAAATATATGCAAGATCTGCAAGTGTGTGTTTCTGAGTGTTTGCAGGTCTCTTTACCTTCTAAATGTCAAAATGCACTCGATTTTCATTTTTGATGTCTTTTCTCTGCGAACATCATTAGACCTGCATGGATTTTAATGAACATTATGCAAATTTGTAAATTTTGTTGTCTTTTGCCATTGCTTGGCGTTTGGCTGTGTTTCTCAAACGTAAAAACGCATTTGCGTAAATGGCATTTGCAAAAGCAAAATTTTTTGAGAGGTATCTTGCAACAACAGCTCCCCTTGCAAACTAAGCAACAATTTCCAAAAAGATGAAAAAAAAAACATTCAAAAGGCTTTTGAAAAGCAATTATTATTGCAAGTCAATGATGCTTTGATCATCAAGTCAAGGCTTGCAAGCCAAAAGAAAAAAATCCATTAAAATTATTTAATTTTGATGAATTGTGACAGAGATAAAGTTGGGGGGCTTTAAACTGAAACTCAATGAAAGGCACTATGACTAAATAAATAAAAATTGGTGCATACTTTCTGGCTAAAGACAGCTGAGCATTCAAGTTTCATTCAAAATCCTGGATAAAAAATGCATTCGAATAATATAATCCTTAAGAATTGTGGTAAAAATATGGTTGGTTTTTAAATGGATAAGCAAGTAGATTCAATTTAAAAAATGCTGCATACTTTCAGGCACAAATCAGCTGATTTGAGACAGATGATAAATTTCATACCTTTAAAATCCTTTAAAAAATCCTTAAAAAATGTTAGCTTTGATGTATTTTGGAGGAGGATAATTAAATGCAATTTAGTTAAGCAAAAATACATAAAACTGGTGCATGCTTTCAGGTATAAGACAACTGATTGGATACAGCTGAGACCACAATTCAACACCATACACCCTTCGTAATGTATGAGGAAATTTATGATGGTTTAATTGATAGAAGACGCTCTACACCACTTGAGTGGCTAGAATACCTCATACATATCTTCTCTGGGCAGCAGACCTTCTCTTGATCTTCTTTAGACAGAACCACGTATTTGATATTCTATAAATATTATACCTTCTTTAAATAAAGTCTCCGGTATGAATATGTCTTTATATAAACTGCTCTTTTACAGGTCTTATATGGCTTGGAAATCTCCAACAATTTTTCTGCTGGCAGAGGATCTTCTAGAGATCCCCTGTGGTCAGAAGACTTTTGACAGGCCATCTGTCGGCAGAACATCTTATCCAACTGATTTGCTATATCCATGTACCATGATTCAGGTACAGCCCAAATTTCGAACCATATAAGACAATTCATGGACTTTTTATTGACCTTCAGGGGATAGAAGACCAAGACAAAGGACCTTCTATGGGACAGAAACCCTTCTTCTGTCCTCTGTAATTAAAAGACGTTCTAGAAATATAGGTCCCCGTATAAATATATTCTTATGGCAATTTAATAGGTCTTCTATAGCCTCTGGGTCTTCTGTAGTCAGAAGACTTTATATAGGTCTTCTCTTGACAGAATATAATTTTCAGGTCTTCTATGGACAAGAGTGCCTTTTACAAATCGTCTGAGGACGTAATTACTTCTACATGTCATCTATGGGTAGGAGATCCTCTACACTGCAGGAAGACAGGAAGATATTACAGGTCTGAATAGCTTGACAGACTTTCTGTGGGCAGAAGACCTTCTTCAATTCTTTAGAATATATTCTACAGGTCTTCTATTGACAGAAGGTATACCCGTAGATGTCCTTATGGCTATTTTAAAGGGTTTCTATAGTCTCTGAACTTTCCACAAGTCTTCTGTAGTCAGAAGACTTTATACAGGCCTTCTGCTGACAGAATATCTTTTCCAAGTCTTCGGTGGACTGGGGGACTTTTACATATCTTCTTAGGACGTAATTACTTCTACATGCCTTATGTGGACAGGTGATCCTCTACGCGCCTTCTGTAGACACAAAGATATTACAGGTCTGAACAACTTGACAGATTTTCTGTGGGCTGAAGACCTTCTTCAATTCTTTAGAATATCTTCTACTGGTCTTCTATTGGCATAAGGTATTCCCGAAGATCTTCTATGTTTCTTCTTTGGACATTAGACCTTCTATGGATCTTCCTGCGGTGAGATTGAGTTTTTTACTCTCAGCTGGTGCCGACAGGAGAGATCAATTCCAAAAACTGCATGCTTACTCTCACAAAGTGCCCACGGGCGCTCTTTTCATGAACGGTCGTCTATGCATTGCCTACTTCCAGCGAAATTATTAAATATTGAAATCAAAAATTTTCCATGGCCCATGTAAATCCAAAAAACCTTGAAACTAATTTCCACCAAACAAATGACCAAAGCTCGATTGATATTCTCCGTGATCGAATAAACCAAACTAACGGAAAACAATAAGAATTTATTGATGAGGGCCATTTGTTTCAGCAATATTCAAAATTCAATATTTTGGTGTGTGGTGGTGGTGTTTTTTTTAGTTTCTTTGACAGCTTTATTTCATTAATCAAGTGTCAAACAATACTAAGTTAGCGCACAGCTAGCCAGCTCTTGGCTACATGGCCCAAGTGTCTTCGCACATACTAACGTGTATTTTGTTGTTGTTGGTTTTTTTTTATTATTTTTTGATGTTTAAATGCCAGGCTTAAACAACTGACTGACAGACTAAACAAGTCACATTGGGTGTTTGTTGGTGGTGTTGTTGTTGGGTATTTTTTTCTATTTTGCTTTTTGATAGCTTCTTAGTGATGATTTGTCTCTTGT